GGAAATGCATCTGATTCTCCTAAATTAGTGATAAAAGTGCCAGTGTAAAAACCATGCAAGTTACTGAATATAAAACCTGTTCAAATCATTTGTGTATATTCTTTAAAATTTAATTTTACTATCAATTATTAAATATTTCCAATTTYAAAGTATTTAAATTGAATCAAAACAAAACATTTCCTTTATCTGGATCTTTTAGACTTRATGCACAGTAACTAAAATAATGACTATTGTTTTAATACCCTTAGTTTKCTGTCTTTTATGAGGGTATCACGAAGTTCTAAAATGTATTTTTTTAAGGTTRATCTTTAACTAGTTTAGTTTGCAATTGGTTAGTGTATATTTTGTGTAGTTGTGTTCTTTAGTTTGCTTCTGTATTTTTTTAAAAAAGAGCACTAGAAAGGTTGGCTTTTTCTGTTTCTCATCACTTAATATCTTTATATGGAACCCAAGTAATTTATTCATTAATATGAATTGTTGGTATTATGTGACTCAGGAGATMTTGGGTTTTAACATTTCTACATGAGTTAAACTATAATATAATGTACTGATGAAATTTAATTGAAATATCCTTGACTAGAAACACTGATGTTTTAAATGTTGGTGTTTTCCTTAGTTTTAGAAATCCTGATATTTAAAAAAAGGAGAGTGTAATCACACCACATAAATTTTCTTTAGATGATGTGCGGAAGAAACTGATTGAGAATGCAAGAGTAACTGTAGGGAGAAACATTTTGATCACTGATATGCCTTAGAACTACCCAAATCAATTACATTGAAGGCAGTAAAATAAAACAGATCRCCCCACCACAGTCACTGCACAGAAAGTGGTTAAGTTTGACATTAAGACATGTTGGATGTTCTGAAAACAAATATTGTATGAATTTAGTCTCTCAGGAATAAATTACTTTGTTGAAAATATTTGGTTTCTTTTTTTTTTATATTTGCATTAGTTATTAACCTTAAGAGTTGCTTATGTTGCTAGGCCCAGTGGCTCACTCCTGTATTCCCAGCAGCTCAGGAGACTGAGACAGGAGGATTGCAAGTTTGATACTAACCTCAGTGATTTATGGAGGCCCTACAGATGTAGTGAGACCCTGTCTTGAAATAAAAAAAAGGGCTTGGAATGTGGCTTAGTGGTTAAGGGACCCTGAGTTCGATTACCAATACTAAAAAAAGTTACTCATGCCAAATTGAGCACAGTGGCACACACCTATAATCCCAACTGTCCAGGAGGCCAAAGCAGGAAAACAACAAGGTTAACAATTTAAACTCTTATCTCAAAATAAAATTTGAAGGGCTGTGGATGTAACTCAGTAGTAAAGGGCCCCAGGTTCAATTAACATACCACACATACACAGTTATTCATGTCAGAAAACAACTGAATTTCATTTAACTGGTAGATTACTCCCACTCATATAGTTGGATCATACCTGACCCTTCAAATATAAACTTTTACTCTGCCCATTAATCCAGGCAAACCAGAATAAAAATGACAGTGGTCAGAGAAATGTACCCCGGTCCATTACAAAACACTTGAAAAGTATTTCTTTGAAATTTTGCTAAATCATAAGTCACCTAGTAGGTAATTCTTATATTGTCCCTTTCAATTGTATACCCTCTAATGGATGGTTCTTATTCATTGCATTTCTAAATATCAATTACAAAATTTGAAGTGATCTGTAAAGATGATATTCCCACCATTTATAAGCCAAAGGAATTTGGTATACTTATTTTTTAATGGAAGAAGTTTATATAAAGGAATTAGGGGCTAGGATTGGGCTCAGTGGTAGAGCGCTCGCCTAGCAAGTGTGAGGCACTGGGTTCAATTCTTAGCACCGCATATAAATGAATGAATAAAATAAAGGTCCATCAACAAAAAAAAAAAAATAAAAGAATTTTTTTTAAAAAAAGACTATGAAATTACCTTCAATTATTGTATCAGTATTCTTCCTGCTTGAATAATTTGCTACTATAAAATTTTGGAGGGTTAGGAATGTTATGACTAAAATCCCAAATGTGACCTAAAATTCAATTTTACCCTAAAAGATATGGTTGTTTAAATTTTCCCTTTGTGATATCAATCATTTTAGACTTAGATGTAAAGGATTTATTAGCACCCAAGTTAAGTGGATAACATTTCTCAAAACCTACTGAACTAATTTTTTTTTCCGGTTTTAAGCATTAGAATGTACACTTAACTGTGACATACATAAGAGTCCCAGAAGAAAGAACTATTAAATTAAAACAAGTACCCTTCACGAATCCATGGATAAAATGACAGACTTCATTTCCATGGGTAGCTGGAAAGAATCAGAATAAGACAGAAGATGGTGACTTAAATAAAGTTTATTTTTTTAAAAATGTCGTTATTTTTGCAATGCCATGGTTAGAGGACTTTATGAAGAGGTAACATAATTTCCTTTTCTTTAACCATGCTTTTTATTTTCAACCTTCTGCACAAAGATAAAAGTTTTTGTTAATCTCATAGTTAATGATATAAAACAAAGGTCAGCAAACTTTCTTGAAAGGGCTA